ACCCATGTTTCACTGAGTGACCCCACACCCATGCACATGTGGGCAGCACTATCTGGACTTAGTGAACTATTTTTTAAAAGAAGGAAGAAGACGTGAAGTTGGGAGGTGGTCATGTTGGGAGAGATCTGGGGAAGTCAGAGGGGGAACTAGAGGGTAGAAATAAACATATTTCAATGTATGCATGTATGAAATTCTCAAGGAAAATAATTAATTTAATTGAACCTAAGAATCCAGTAGATAGACATAAAAACTGACAAAACATCAAAGGTGTAGAGAATCTACAAAATTAAGTCATAATGGAAAGTTTCCCAAATATACGGAAAGAAATAGGCATCCAAATACAAGCAGCATCTAGAATAGATGTGACCAGAAAAAGACCTCTCCATGACATTTACAGTCAAGTTATAAAAAAATATAAAACCCTATGTCTGTCACATCCCTAGACAAATGTAATTTCCTACTGTATGCTAAATATGGATCCTTGTATTTACAGACAAGTGTGCGTCTCACAACTCATCAAAGAAGCTTCTTTTTAAAACAGGTGGAGACTATTACAGAGTTGTATAACTGGTCAAACACAGAGATAAGTATTTGTGAGATGCCCAGCCCTAAATGGCACATCTACAATGGAACCTCCACACCTAAGGCTCACAGAACACAGTGGAACAGGGGGTAGAGAGAACACTAATGCATCTCTCAACTCTCACCAGCGAAGCTCCTTCATGCAACATGGGGCAACGAACACAGAAAACCACAGCTGCCCAAAGTGTAGAGAAGAAGAGACTACAGAGTGTGTGTGTTCCTGGATGGGCTTCTATTAAACCTCTGCCACCCACGGCTCACGGGCCATTGAGGAAGAGGAAGAGGGAGAGGAAGGACTGTAGGAGCCAGGGGTACTGGATGATCACGAGGAAACAGTTTTCCATGTGGCTAGGCAGTTGCTCATATGAACTTACAATAGTGATCGTATGTACAAGACCTGTGCAAACTCTATCAGACAAAAACCCAGCATAGAACTGGGAAAATGGATAAGAAGCCCCAAACATAGCCAAGGAGCTATTGGAAGCTGATCACTCCTGGGTGAGGGAAAGTTGGTCTTCTTTAAGGGAGTGACTCTAGATAGGCTGACTAGACTCCAGAGGATGAACTTGTACTGAGGGACATGTGAGCACACAAACTTGACTCAATAAGCCTTAATATATATGACTGAATGCATTAAATCCGGTGGAGATTCATGGGGGTACATATAGGGGAGGGAGTATAAATATGCACTAGATAGGCTGACTAGACTCCAGAGGATGAACTTGTACTGAAGGACATATGAGCACACAAATTTGACTCAATAAGCCTTAATATATATGACAGAATGCATTAAATCCAGTGGAGATTCATGGGGGTACATATAGGGGAGGGAGTATGAATATTATTAATATATGTTGGATGAAATGCAAAAACTTCAATAAAAATATATATTGAAACAATCCTGCTCTTACAGAAGACCTGAATTCAGTTCCCAATACCCACATCACAACTGTAACCGCAGCTCCAAGGATCCAGCACTCTCTTCTGGCCCCTGCATGCACTTACATACATCCACATATGAACACACACATATACACATAACAAAAATAATAAATCTTTTTTAACTATGGGGGGGCTGAAGAGATGACTCAGCGATTAAGAGCACTGGCTGCTCTTGCAGAGGTCCTGGGTCCAATTCCCAACAGCTAACAACCATCCATAGCTCCAGTTCCAGGGGAATCCAGTACCCTCTTCTGACCTCCATGACCATTACACAACATGCACTTACACGCAAGCAGTCAATATGCTCTTAGACATAAAATAAAAAATAATAAATAAAGTATTTCTTAGACTATAAGGGGAAAACACCACCTCACAAAGACATAAACACCAGAATAATGTCTTTCATCAACAACCCTAAAATACAGAAAAGCACGGAATGATCTAATTCAGGCCCTGAATGTAAATAATTGTCAACTAATGTTCAGCAAAGCTAAGCTGTGAAACTGACAGAGAAATGAAAATATTTCCAGACAAACAAATTGAGACAGTTCATGACCACCATGTGAGCATTTCAGAAGATGCTGAAACACTCTCAATTACAAGGTATAGGAAATAATAAAATTCATTATCAGAGCAGATAGACACAGTAAAACTAGGAAGGAATCCATGATGCCCAACAGAGTAAACTAGTAAACCCCATTATTAATAAAAGAACAGAAAATAATCAAACCAACCAGTCAGTAAAATGCTTGCTTTACAAGCAGGATGACCTAAATTAAATTCCCAGGAGTCATGGGCTGGAGAGATGGCTCAGCAGTTAAGAATGTGCTCTTATAGAGGATGAGGGTTCAGTTCCCAGCACCCATATCAGACAGCTCACAGCTGTAACTGCAGACACTAGCCTCTGCAGACACTGCATTCATGTGCACAAACCCACATACAAACTACACATATACACATAATGAAAAATAAAAATAAAATCTTAAAAAGTAAAAGCCAGATGTGGTGGATCATGCTTATTGTGTCCATGCTGGGTAGGGAGAGACAGATGGATACCTGGGCCTCACAGTAGCCAGTCAGTCTAGCACACTTGGCAAGCCCCAGATTCTCAAGAGACCCTGTATCAAAAAAGAAAGTGAGCTTAATATGGGCTTTATCTTATCTTTATCCATCTTTAAGATAAGAGGCAGAGGCAGATCTCTATAAGATAAAGACCTGCCTGGTCTACATAGTGAGTTCCAGGCCAGCTGGGGCTACAGGGACTAAGATAAAGACCCACCTGGTCTACATAGTGAGTGCCAGGCCAGCTGGGGCTACAGGGAGACCCTGTCTCCAAAAACAAAAGTGGATATGCATTTATACATATATATGTACAAAAGAAAAAAATTCTAATAAGGGCCAGGGAGATGGCTCAGTGGCTAAGGCACTTGATGTAAAAGTATGAGGACCAGAGTTTGGATCTGTAGAACACATGTCAATTATAGGTGGGCTAGTGGCCCACCTATAATTCCTGCCTTGGAAGACAGAAGCATGGTATCCCCAGAGCAAGCTAACTACCAAAATTAATCATATCAGTGATCTCTGGGTTTTATTGAGAGACCATGCCTCAGTGAGCAGGGTAGACTAAAAATCATGGGTGATTTCTGACATCAACCTCAGACCTCCACACACACATGCACAAAGGTGCACGTGCATAAT